AAAATGAAAGTGGGAAATAAAAGTACATAAACATTACAAACAAAGGTGAAAATACTGCTCTTTACAAACACGTTATTGTGTTTTACACATTTCTTCCTGTTTTGGAGACTTTGGCCACCACTCGTTTTTGTCCGTGTCCACAGTAACATCTGTAAATACACAAGACAAACACCACCAAATGAAAAACAAATACTGAAGCATTAATAAGAATTTTAGAAATATTATTATATTTATTCTAAAGATCTGTTTTTGTGCAGAGGCTAGTGACATCATACAGTCCTACCCAGTGATGTCACACTCCTCCACTGATTTACAGATAGCTGTAATGTACAGCTGTTGTTCACTAACAGTTTGCTAACTTGCTGCTCTTAAAAGACTTCAAACATGCCATTAGCAGGTGAAGATACATGGTGCATCTCTAAAACGCTGCAATGTTGTTAATGATGGTTTTCAATCATTTTTTTCCATGCAAAAAACAAGTGTACCCAACTCATGTTCATAAATAAAGCACCTGCCTGAAGTGGAGGTTTGAAATTCTGTTAATGTTTTCCTCATTATGTACTGTTGCCTTCATTAACATAGTACTGCATGTTGCCACGTGACTGTGACATGGCAACATCATGGAGGAAAAGTCGAGCACCGAGCTGACAGCCCAACTCGAGCAGTTTGTTTGGACACGTTTCTGCCTTTAATAAAGACAACAGCAAACAAAAAAGAAGAAAACTCAAATATAATTTTCCTTTTTTCTTGGGAAAAGTTGTAGAAGTAGGACACATAAATACGCAACTGGTGTTACACAAAGCCACTGAGTCACCACAAAACCCACTAAAGTGCAGCTGTAAGAGTTACTATACTGGTCACAGGGAGCTGGGTCTCCTAATGCATGCGTCTCTGACAAGCCTGATTTTTGCTGGTTACAAATACAAAAACTGCATCTCTACTATGGAATACTTTAAAATACAGAGTTCTATAATGTTTTAAAACACTTCAATTTTTTTTCTGATGTTCTGCTGAAAATAATAACATTATTTTATCATCAGATGTCCTTCCACCAAAATATGGGTTATAATAACAAGTTTCAGATGCATCGTCAGAGTCAAAGTCTCTCCTTGTCGTTGTGCTCAGTGAACGTGTTCACTTTGAGCACAAACATGTTCAGTGACATAGTCCACTGATAAATACACCCAGGTCTTTCTTC